AAAATAAAAAATATATAGAAAGAAAGAATCCAAACAGAAAAGGAACTCAAGTTAGATTTGTATTTTTTTTATTTAGACATTTAAGTTTCTACCAGAGGTTCATGAACCTTAGGGAGACAAAAATTCCCAACCACTAGAAGGAAATAACTTTTTTTCCCTTCAACCTCCACAACTGAAGGCCAAAATGCCTTTCCAAGTGTTTGTGATGCCAAGGATTCCTGGAGGAGAACCTGACTGCCATGTGTGCACTGCAGCAGCTGGGACCTCTCCACTGGGCCCATTTTCACCCAACACCTTCACCAGGCAAAAAAACCTTCCAACATTACCAAAACACAGAGCCAGTTGCCTAGTTAAACTTCCTTAGCTTTTCAAAAGCACAAGCTAGCAGGACTTTTTGCCAGTGATTACTACCTAAATGTTATCTTGCAGCTACCAGCTTGAACCTTTGCTACATCATCTTTTGCTTCCATTTGTGGGCTTGCAGCTACCAGCTTGAACCTTTGCTGCATCATCTTTTGCTTTCATTTGTGGTTTATTTATTTACAGACAGGATTATCAAATCACTTCCACAAAAGAAAAACCAACACAACCTCAAACAAACCAAAAACAAACCAGCAAAAGCACAACACTAGGGGAGTCTTGAGGCACAGAACAGCTCAGCTTTTCAGTTCAATAACCCAAGGCAGCAGCTGCCAACGCTGTTTATATTTGTAATGTTTGAAAAGGCCCTAAAGAATGAGCACAAGAACTACTGACACACAAAACACTCTGATCTATAGCTCAGCTTTCACCCCGTGGATTACACAGCAGAATCTGTTCCCACTCACCACAAAAACAGTAATGAATTAACTGGACAGGCAATAAGTAATTAATACATTGGGGGTAAGTTGCATTGATGGAAATCATCCTGAACAAAAATGGGAAAAAGCAGGAGGTAAAGACAACACACACTCAGTCAAGATATGCTGAAAACCATAAGCTATTCTTGAATTATTAATCTCAAAAAGCTACTTGTGAGTTTGGCCACGACAAAGCACCTATTGAGTCATCTGAAGAATATGCTCTGCAGAAGAGAACTCCAAATGAAAACAAAGCATTTTGGTCAGCTGAAGCCACTTGCACAGCAGGTGCTTCTGAAAACAAACCTTCTGTTGCTTAAGATGGTTTCCAAGTGATAATTATATAAAAAAGATGGTATTTTCTGAGATTAATCCCACTCAGTTACTGTTTTGGTATAGTTTTTTTAACTACTAATTTGGTGGTGACTTTAACTCTTCTTCGGAAAGCATTTTTGCATTCCCAAATTAACTTGAAGAGCAGAATTTTGGAGCATCCAACTCGTGTGTTTAGGAATTCCTCCACTAGGTTCTATTCTCCTCCCCCCACTGAAGAACTCTTGGCAGTCTCATTCCAGTGGATCCCATCTGCAATGAGATCCCAGCAGTACAGGCCTCCTGCCAAATTCCTGCCCTCAATGCAGTTGGCACATGTGACTTGGGCTGGGCTGCAGGACATGGGTTTCAACACAGAGTTTACAACACACTTGAAGGATTGTCAGCCCCTGTAAGACACTGCATCACTGCAGATCGATACCTCTGCAGCCACAGAGGCAATTAAAAAGCTACTTTGACAAAAAGAAGAGAGCAGTATCATCTTTCAAGTACCAATTTCAATAATTCCCCTATTTTGCCTCTGTTCAGCACAAACAAGTCCCAGTTGCTCACAGCAAGAGCTCCCAGCACTGTGGGTTAAAGACCTCTGGAAGAACTCTCTTTTTCTGAGATTTAGGCATATATAGAACTGTACTACACTGTCACTTTTAAACACTGAGAAGTGATAAAGATGGAGATCTTGGTGAAAGGTTTTGATCTCCTATGAGGAAATGACACTCAAGGCAGACAGGATAACAAGTAGGAGCCCACAACAAAATTGCCCTTGTTTTGCTTCTAAGGCAAAGTTAAACTGTGTGACAAAACTGAGCAAAGCTTTCTAAGGCAGGAGGATGTTTTGCTTTGCTGGCAGCACACCGTGAATGACAGACAATCCCAAAGCTGTAAACAGCCAAAGTCACACAAAAACTGCCAAACAAAAGCAGCGGGTCAGGCAACAACCCTGGTGGCATCCTGACTGCAAGAATCCACCTCGTCATGGATGTCAAAAACTCTTCTTTCATAATTCATTTGAATCTGTTTATAAATGGCAGCTCTGATACCCTTTATTATCTGGATATAGTGGTTTCCTTCATACAGCCCTGAGCACTTTGCCTCAGTTTCAATGTGCTGCAGAAGTCTCTGCCAAAACATTTACAAAACTCAGACTTGGTGTCCTGTCCAAACCAGCACACTTGGACAAAGTTTCAACTCAGGACCCCCAAAGGATTTGTAGGATAGTTTGGCCAATCAATACATACAGAATTAAAGTTCAAGTAACAGTCACAATCCCTTCTTAGCTATCAGACTTCACACTGTCTCATCAATCCTCTATCACAATAGTCCATTAGGCTTTAATTCCTAGATAAGGGAACTTGAACTGTCTTGGCAGCTTAAAATAACCACTACTCAGCCTATCAGCAGCCTCTCAGTTTTGCCTTCTGTCAACTTCATTAGTGCCCAAATGAAAAAATAACCAAAATAACCTTCTCAGGGGCAGGATATCTCAGCCTCCATCATTTCACTGGCACAGTGGAAGGTACAAAGCAGGAACTCCACAGGGTAGAATTACTCCTGAATTCCCTTTTGTTTGAAATTGCTTCACCAGATGAGTCTCAGATACACTAATGTCCCTTTATGTGTTCAGCTTTCAGTCAACAAGTTCAGACATTAATAACGAGAAGTTCAATAATGTAACTGTGAGGTTGCAAAAAAAAAAAAAAAAAAAAAGAAGGACCATGAAAATGAAAGAATTTTTGACAGAAATAGCAATGGAACTTGTGCCCCTCAAACTTAATACCTAGCCTAAAATCAGCCCAGAGTTTCAGCTTGAAGTTCTGTGTCATACAACTTGGTTAGGAAGGTTCTTTGGAGAAGGATTTCTGCTCAGGTTTGTTTCCCCACCAAACAATGCCTTATTCATATCCTTCACTACACAATCCTCTTTGTTCAAACCACCCTCTGCCTATTGCTTTCTTGTAGCTCTCCTCTACCAGGGAAATTCAGGTAAAAATATCCCACAGATTGTAACAAACATTTAACTATTGCAACTGCTGATTCCTTTCCCACAGGCTGTTGTGGCCCTGATGACTTAAACCTGACCATCTGTCACCTCACCCAGCTTGTACCAGAGCCACAGGACTCAAATAGAATGCTGCAGATTAAAACGTTTCCAGAGCTCAAAATATAGCAAAAGCTGGAAAGAAATTTCCAACTAGATGAATCAGGAAGTGGTTTTCTCCTTGGGAAGGCTGGTGAAGTGTCTTGGAAATGTGTCACTGTGGTGCAGCTCTGGCATTCAGAAACAGAACCAGTGGCTTTGGTCTGTGCCACATCTCAAACTCGGACAAATTGCCAGAGATGGACTCGTCACCCTTGTTGTACCACAAATGAGGTGTTTCCAGAGGCTTCTGGAATTCAAAACCCTTAAGCATCTAAAAATTATTGCTGCTGTGACTGCAGCAAGAAAAGCTATTGCAGAGGCACCAGTGGAGTCCAGAGCTTGGTGGCATTTCCATAACAAATCCTCTAATGGAATCTGCAGTTCTCTCACTCTACAGGGGGTGCAATGATGGGATACAAGCACCAGTTCCGGGTGAGATTACTTCAAACATCCTCCTCTTTTAAAAAGAAACTCTGAAATCCAACCCCAAACAAGCTTCTTTGGGTCATATTCACCTAAGATTTGAAGATAAGAATTTTCTGCACTGAAAACCAAGCTCTGTTCTGTACACCTCTGTCCCAAGGAAACCAGAAACACTGTAGATGATGTAAGTGACCACAACCAGGAGTTAAATTCCATTGCAGGAGCAGGCTGACGTCCAACCTCGGCCAAAAAAAACAGGGAGAGGCCTGTATGAAACCTCCTTTGTTACAAGGCATGAGTAAATACTCAAGTAATCAGACAGCAAAATAACTCAGTGCTCTCGGGGTGTTGCTTCCTACAGCTACAGACAAGACGACTCTCCTTGATTACCTAACAACCAAACACTCCCACAGGAGCAGTTTACAGCCAGAGCTGTTGGTCTGCACCTGAGGAATGAATTACACTGCCTCAAACGCTCAGTGCTGCCTTGACCTCAAGGAGTATGTAAAAACAACCAAATACCAAAGTAGGTGTGTCCATATTCGGTTTCCCATTGAACATTCTCCCCCCAACTAGACAAACAATAATTATTTAAGAAGCCAAACACTTCTAATTGGGTAGAAAAGAAGATGATTTTATGTAGTCTGTTATTTTGCTGTCATTAGAGATGTCCTCTGGAAAGCACAAATCTTGATATCCTTTTCCCCTCAGCTTTCACACCCAAATTAAGCTCCTAACCAAAGGCACAGACTGAAGAACAAGCACACCAAGAAGGAATTACATCACAATTATCACCTGATGGTCTGCAATGCATCCCTGTCAGTCCACATGATATTCATGGAATCATCAAATCATAAAGGCTGGAAGAGACCTTTAAGATCACCAATTGTCCAACAGCACTGCTACTGTAACCACCAGAGCTTATCACCCAGTGCCAGATCAGACACCTCTTAACACTTCCAGAGACAGTGACTCCACCATCTCCCTGAAAACTATTCCAATTCCTGACCACCCTAATGGTGAAAATCTTCTCCAGATGTCTAACCTGAACCTTCCCTGTCTGAGCTTACAGTCATTTCCTCTAGTCCTCTCACTGAGGGCTATTCCCACACACTGAAGTCAACAAAAAGGTTTACACTTGGTGTTTTAATCTCTCTGTAGAATTTTCAGCTTATCACAAACAAACACCACCACCGACTGCATGAAAATCAAGATATTAATGATTTAGACCTTCTAGTCCAATTACAAGATGAAAATAAACTTACTGGTGGAGTTGCCTTGCATCTGGATGATACACTTGGACTCTTTGCTGGTCTCTCTGGAGTTGAAGGGCCTGACCCTCACAGCCACCTTCACCGAAGCCCCCGACATCCTGGCTGCTTGTGGTACACTCAAGGAGTTGAAAGTGGTCAAGAACCCTTCAAGTTATCCTTCCTCTTGGTGTTTTCTAAGGAGAAAAATAGAATTTAGTTATTTACAGCTATTGCACTCAATTTGTTGATAAAACTATTCAGGTTCAATTATTTGGTAACTTCAATTTCTACTCTGCAGTCACACTCCCTGTCCCCCCAAAAGTGTCACTTCAAAGCCCAAACTGCAGATACACTTATCAGCACCTGCTCACTATCTCCCCAGTCAAAAGTTTCTGTCACCTGAAGCAGTTCTTTTGAAGTATACGAATATTTGTTTTCATGACTTGGTTTTCTTCCCAGAAAGTAAAGGTGCCAACACCAAATAAAGATCTGGTTGCAACATGTGTTAGGCTTAACCTACCAGGGATAATTTTAGCAGTAAAGACACAGCTCCTCAAATTTCAGCAGTGACCACACACCACATATGTAGCTCTCTAGCTGCCAACCCCTGCTGCCACAGTGCATTAGCAGTAACATTAGAGCTAACACAAGTGTGAAGGCCATACCACACTGACTTTCAGTACCCGACTCCAGAGAAAAGGGTGCACCCTTAAAGAACCCTCTGCAGTCCTGGGAAAGTCCTCTTGAAGGAAATAACAACTCGTCAACTACTTGTGCCTCTCCTGATTAAAGGACACACTATAAGGAAGAAGAGGAATCAAGAATTATTGCCTTCAGGGTAAATATTACTATCCATCTTTAGGTAAATGTCCACCATTAAATTCATTATCAAAATACTTGTTCAAATCCGACCACATCCAAATAATGGAGCACTTGAGCTGGCAGGAAGCTATCCCTGATACCCACTATCCAAACTTCAAGGCATGTCTGAGACAGTGTTGAAACACAGGGTTAGGAAGGATTGGTTTGGCTGCATTGGCCTCCACCAGCCTTTGCCATTAGAATTTTTCCAGTCAGTGCATAATTGAGCAGTTTGACTACTGCCACAGGATACGGTCAGTCTCAGAAAGCAATGAGATGGATTCCATGTAAAAAGCTCCCACCCTAGGACAGTCTATGGCAGGACACTCAGAACCTGGAGGAATATAGGGAGAGAAGATGATTCCATGGTTGGTTTAGCCTTACACTCTCAAAAGCTGCTATGGCTCTGCTGGAGATTCAGGGCTGGGGGGATCCTTGGTCTGGCTGAACACAGACATTTCCATCTGGAACCTCAATTCCATGGGCATAACTCCATCCTGCACGAGTCACCACAAAGAAATCCTGCCATCTCCTTTTCTGGTTATCTATGTACCACATACCCAGTGAAATGCTCATTTCAGAGTTGTGATCACAGTGATGCTAAAGAAAAACTCTATCTAAAGCAAAACCATTTCAGCTCTAAATTAAGACCTACAGCTGGTAAAAACACTTAGACATGCTTAATTCAAGTTATGACACATCTGCACACAGCAAAAGGTTTTTAATAAAACTGCTTTACTTCATTAATGCCATCACATGGCGAAGGCAGAAATTAAATTCCTCCACCAAGCAGAAGTAATTGAAAGCATTCCTCATTTCAGCAGGTACCTGAGGTGTCTCACCAGACTAGAAGAATGTCTTTAGGAACAAGCCAACTGCATCTCCATGTCAGTGGTGCAGCAGAGAGGCAGAACAAAGATTAATGAGACAGCCACACAGAGCTTTGGGGCAGTATGGAATTGCAGCAAGTTTCACTGAAAACTTCAATAAAGAACAGAGCAGAGAACTAAGGGGTATGAATTCACATGATGCTCCACGTTTAAAGAGGTTGTTTTGCAGAACTCTTCATTCCCTCTAGCTCAGAGGTGCTACTTTTCAGTGTAACAAAGGATGAAATGTGCAGTTTCATCGTAAACTTTCTACCCGAGTATCCACGGTGTGGATTTTCCCTCTCCCTCCCTAACATGACCCTTGCATAAGTACCTGTGTCCTCCCACCCAAGCCAAGTGACAAGACTAATCCTCACACAACCCACAAGTATTATTCAACTGACCCTGAATATTGGTGCTGGAGAACAGGAATGTTCCTGCACATGTTTCTGAAAAGCAATTTAAGAACTCTATCAGGTGCAAAACGTCCATTATTAACCAGTTCACAGTGACACGGTTGACTCTGCCCGATGTGTTCTCACAATTTTGACTATGAAATTTAAGGAGTTTGTTTTCCCTTTGCACTGAAGATTTTTTCCTGGTGTATTCACAGAAATAGCTCTTAGAGCACTGCATCCATTTCTGCTGATAACCAGCACATCTGGAAAACTGGCCAACAGAGGGTGGGATGAAAGAATCATCTGCTTGGAAAAAACATAATACTCCAGTACCTCTGAACACCATATTCACAACAAGAAAGCATTAAAATCACACCTCCAAAGGCTCCATATGCACTAGCTAAATGACAGCCTTGTTTGAAACAGAGCTGGGAAGAAATTCTCACAGAACAGGTCATAGAATCACCCCCAAGACCATGAAAATTTAACTGCTAGACTTCTGCAATTACCAGCTTTTCCCAACCCTAACTTTTGTGCTGATGGAAAATTAAATGTGCTGTAATTTTACATTTCATTCACTCACAACTCTGCTCCTTCTCACAGCTGAAATAAGCAAAATGCCTACTTGGAGTTGCACAAGATTTTCAGATGTTTTGAATACCGACTGACTACACAAGATTTAATTGTTGTTATTAATAGAATTAACCAAACCCTATATATTTTACCAAGCTTCCCATATATTTCAGCTGTTGGGGGTTTGAGGGTTTTTCCCACTTATCAACTTGAACTGTTCATGACATTTTTTAAAGGCAGCACTGCCCTCATCACACAGAATGACAAAATAAGGCAAAACGAGCCCAAGATTCACAGCACCAGAGTTAATGAATTGCAACTGGTTTTGCAGGGTTCACATTTCCCAGTAGGATCACTTTCCACCACAAAATGCTGACTGCAGAGTGGAGACACAACTTGAAAAAGAGCAAACCCAAACATGCAGTTCAGTCTGGTACAGATTTAGAAAAATATTCATAAAAGAGAACTTTTTAATGTTCATTACAGGCTTTGAAGGCTCAATCCTTGCTAGAATGAATCATTCCCTAATGCCTTGGAAAGAATCTATGAGCTGTGTCTCTTTTAATGTTCAGTTTGTACCAATCCAGTCAGGAACCAAGAAAGGAACTGCGTGTAAGTCTGACGTGATCGACCACTACTCCAAAACAGGTGGTGGATGATATTTGAGTTGCTCTCTGAGCTCCATCAGCACAAAAGCAAATCCTACATTCTAGTTTTACACTTATTTTAAACTATTATTAAAAGATATCCACCCTGTGAGTGAGATCTTAACGTTCAAGTGTGTCATTAAACCAGCTAAGTATCTTGCCTGGCATTGGAGTTGACAAACCCAATGATGTTGGTCAATCATCCTTCAGAGGCTCAACTAGGTTTGGACTTTCACACAAATACTTGAAGCAACATTCAGACTTGGGCATGTCTGAAAGTTTTGTCAACCCAGATTTTATGCAATGTCAAAATACAGAACAGATTTGCTGTTTTTCTAAAGCAAAGTTACAAGCAGAGCAAAGATCTGGAGCCAAATTGGTGTGTATCTATTCAGAGAAGTTTGCAACAAGCTCAAAAAGGTTACAGAGCTCAGAATCTGTATCTCTGCATTCAAAAGAACATTAAAAAAACCAATCACACATCACAAATGAAGAGGCAACACTTTTATTTCAGATAACCACCCATTGTGTCCTATATTCGCTTAGGTTTTGCCTGCAAGAGGATTTGCTTTTCGACAAAAAAAAAAAAAATCTGCCTGTAACTTAATCAGCACAGCAGCTCTAAAGAAACAAAATTTACGAGGGCAAAGCTAGCAAAACAGCTGTTCAGGGCAGCAGAGGTTGGTGAACAGGAGGTGCACAGCGAGGCCAATTTTAGCTCCTCCAGCGCTGACAGGGATGTCCCACCGAGCTCTGCCCTCCCCGCGCGAGGGGAAGGTGCCAGAGGGAACTGCTGCAGAACTTGGCGATGCCCCGATCACATGAACACATGGCTATTTACCAACACACCAACACCGCCTTGTGCAACGGCAAAGAGACCCGAGCTCGGCAGGAGCTGGAAGCCAAGAGAAACATCCTCAGCAATTGGGCACGGACGCGTATCACGCGTCGGGAAAAGAGATGTAAATTGATCAGCGGTTCCTGGTGATATTGCAGCTCTCCAAGACCCCCAGGCGAACCCCCGCGCTGTGCCCGAGCCCCCCCGAGCTGCTCCCGGGGATGTCAGAGCAGCATCCTAACATGGCTGCTCGGGAATCGCGTCGTGCCGAGCACGGACACACAACGCCCGCCCTGGGAAGCACCATCCTGCCGCGCTCCGGCACCCCCGGCACGGCAACGGGCTAGAACGACAGAGGAACGCGGCGGGACCGCAGCTCACACGGCGGGAGCGACCGGCGCCGGG